TTGCATTGCTGTCCCCCACCCACTGTGCCTGCAACTCCCTGGCTGCCAGTCTGAGGGGAGATCAAACACCTGCTGCTGCTGAGTTTTGCTGATGTGGAGTAAAACCGGAGTCTCTCCTGGCAGTATAATTAACAGAAAGACGGTGGGGTTTGTTTTAGTGAATGACGGGTGGTCGAGCATGCTAGGTATACAATAGCTATTGACTTTTCATGTGGCAGAGATACCGGCGCTGAGCCAGATCTGATCTGCTTCACGCGCAGCACAGTTAGTTTTCTGCAAACTCACTGTATCTGAAGATTCTATTCTGTGATCATTAAAACTAAACTAGTTTATCTGTATTGATAATCCTCACTCAGTCTTTGGGGTAAGGCAGAGTGGGGAATAAGAGAGTGTGCAAGTTACCCAAAGAGAGACCTCGGGACAACAGCTCGCAATTTGATGGTTGGCTGATAGCCAAGTACAAACAATATTGTTATGTGAATGATGTTTGAGTAATACAATGACTCGGTGATTCCCTCAAACCAATATCTTAATAGTCTGCTTTCTGTCTGCCTCTTTTGCCCCCTTTGTCTCTCGGAAGGTGTGCACATGTACACACGTGCGTCGAGCAGCATCTTATTTTTTGAAAATGCCAAACCTAGCCTATACTGGTCCAAGTCTCGGTGCTAAAACCTCACCACTACTGCCAGCACTGGGCTGCAAAAGTAAAGACTGACCCAATATTCCCCAATCTCTTCCTTTGTACTGTATATTGTGAGTACAAGGAAATTTTTAATTAGTAACACAAACTCACATAGGCCCCTTCCCCTTAACCAATTACAAAGATTATCATTAATTAAAATTAAAATTAATTAAAGGAAAAGTCACATCCAAAGTCAGAATGCATTGTTATACATATATTATTGTTTTGTTTTTTAACTTTCCTTTTTTTTATTGTCGACACTGTTAATTAAAAAGCATTTGAGATTCAAGCCATTCCTGTTCAGACTGACCTTGACCAGACTATATATATATATATATATATGTATATGTATATTTTTTATTGTACAGTTTTGGAAAGTAAACTCTAAAGTCAGTGTTTTGTAATACATACAGTATTCCAGTTTGCTGGAAGTAATTATTTCAACAATTTATGTCTGAATTTCGCCAATAATTGCATTGAAATAAACTAGAAATAGCATTTTTTTTATGAATAATGAAGAAAGAAAGGAAAGGAAAATCCAACAACACAGGCTGCCCAGGCTTGGGGGTATGGTCTGTTTAGTTTTCACTGGCTAGGGGTCTGTAAACAGCGAAGCTAAAATCTATTAGATGAAAGTAAGAACATGAGCTAAACTCCAAACAGCAGAGATTCAGGTCCAAAAGTAATGAAAGCTGCAAATAATATTATTAATAAAACATAATGAACAAATTGGCACTGTTGCCCGTGCATCCACCATTCTGTCTGGGCTTTAGAGACACATTTTGGCCACGAGCAAAGATCAGAATTGAGCCTGTACAGCCACACAGAAATACTAAACAAGGAACCAACTTGTAGATAAAGCTTGCTTACTACTAGTGAGAGATAGATTCACAAATAACGTGGGTATGCTGTATTGTAGTAGAAGTGACTAACAATGTGACAAGGGGAGCACCTAGAGCAACTACAGTAACTACACATCTTTCTGCTGAATTACCACAAAGCCAGGCATCACAGGAAACACAACCTACAGACACACCCAACATCAGTAGCACGGTGGTAAAATGTGCCAAATAAGGCAATTTATTAAACACACAGGATTTAAACACCTAAAATAATGCCTGACAACAGTGTAAGGAGAGGAAGCGGAGCATTCCAGCTGAGATCAAAGCGTGCGAGCAACAATGCGGTATATAGCTTATCGTTGCTTGTGATCCGCGGCTCCTCAGCCACACAAGCACCTGTGTGTACATTTCCCAGAAAAACAGCCTCCGGTGGTGATCATTAGCTCTCCTCTGGAGTAGCGGGGTGGATCGTTAGCCAGCTTCAAGGAAACACCATGCTGTTCGCTCTCTGTATCTGGGGTCACACTGCTGTTTGCTTTTATTCTTTTCTAAGTCTAATCTGCTCTCCTTCAGACATTTATCAACTTCCAGCTGTCAGTTTTCTGCGTTTTTTTTTTTTCTTTTGTTGTCTCATGACTCGTTTAGATGCTGGAGTTGTAAAATCACAACCATGTTGCTGTACTGTACAGCCTGGGCACACGTTTGAAATGCAGGGTAGTGCTTTTTCATTTATGTGCAATATCCTGCTTTTTTCTGTATCTGTACGGCTGCATGCTGGCCCTGATCAGCTCTGCCCAGAGGAATAGTGGGTAATGTATGGAGGTGGTGGTTCTTATTAACAATTAACATAATTACAGTATAAAGGGGGAAAGCCTGGGCCGCCCTGCTCTGGTGAGCTTTAATCCCATGTGGTTTGACTTGCTCAACATTAAATGAAAACCTTTTAATGGTGAAATTCTCCTCTTCAGCAACATGTAGAGAGCTACCTGTCTGTGGAATCAACTTTTCTGTGCTACACACAGGGTAGTTTTCATAGCACAAATAAAGTTTGTCCAACATGTTGCTGAATATGCATGCATTTGTTGTGACATTCTTAAAAAAGTAAACTTACTGATTATTAATGAGGCTGATTCCAGTATTTTTAGACTCACTATATTTATATTTGACTGCTTCTAGGCCAACAAACTGAATAGAGTTTTTCCATCAGAATTTCAATGTTAACTCCTCCTGATAGTGTGGAGAGACTTTTGAAACACCATTTAGACCCTTGTGTTGGCAAATAAAATGGTAATGTTTGAACTTTTGGGTCAGTGATTCACTAATTACTTCCCAAAACGTTTCCTGCTAAGAAATACTCTCGTACTGATAATAGGGGCGATAGAGACAGTGCAGACAGTTATTATAGTTAGAGTTTAGTTCATTGTGTTGATTTATGAGCATTTGTTAGTTTCTAAAAGAGGAAATGCTGTGGGATTCAACTCATGACCTCAGTGTTTCTGAATTCCCGCCTATTGCCATATATGCATGCACTATTGTAGGAATGATAAAGTATGATCTGCCTGAGATAATATCTGAAAAGTATTCACGTAAATGGTCTGTGCGATCCCTTCTGAAGAAAATATTTTGCTGCATTTATTCACAACAAAAAGTACATCTGCAATAGGGAAAGTTATCCTACAGCTCTCTCTTTGTCTTAGTAAATCCCCTCTGTTCAAAAGTACCATATGGTTTATTTTCTCATCTTATATGGAAACATTCATCAGAAAAGAAAAATGGTTTTGTCCTATAATCAAAACACAAATATCTGCCTGCAGTTGAAGACACGAGGACAGAATGAGTTTGTTCACATTTAGATATCTGTCATTGTTTTTCCTGCGTAATATACCCCAAAAAGAGAGTAGATGTGCAAGTGTCCCTTCCTTGTAGCATGTTAGGTCAGTGAGTATGCTGTCATATAGTGAATATGAAAAGGCTCTGACTGCGGTATCAGATCAGTGAGCACCTGATAATAAGCGAGATCCACCTGAGGAAATCTATTCTCATTACTTTATATGGCATGGTGGACGTACCGCATACATTATTCATGCATCCTGCAATATCTTATTGACCTCTGTCAAGGACATTTGGACAGGCATTCATCTTGACAAAATTGGCCAATCACAGCCTCCAAATTGGACATATGCAAAATGCAGAGGTTGGTGTACAGTGCTGAATAATGTGAGTCTCTGGTGCACGCTGCTGTGAGAATGAAATGTACGCACAGAGGCGCGTAATGATACCTGTCTGCCGCTAATGCAGCCAGAGACTGATAGCCTGAACACTGCTTTGACCCTTGACCTTCTCACATTTGAATACCACAGTGTAGGCCTTCATTGTTTTTCTTCTTGACTGTTAATTGGAATAAATACAACTATTATAAAACATCTGTCTTAAATGCCAGGGTGTTCTGTATGAGTCACTCAATTATATTGTTGATTTTTACTATTGACACTTTGTAATTATATCGTAATTATTGATATTGTGAAGAATGTTGCTCATTTTCCACTGTTGTCAGTAATGGTCCTTTTCGTGCAGCTGGAGATTGTTATTGCTTCCTCTCTTGCTGTTGCTAATAGAGAAGTTAATCGTAAACAATTACTGTATATCCCCTTCCTAAAACCATGAACATAACATGCTGGGTGTATTAGACAGCTCTGCCTCTCCACACTGCTCTGGTTCGGTGAAACAACGTGAAAACACAATGTCAGTCCAGGGCTGTTGTCAAGCTAACCTTGGCATTAATAACCTCAGGTCAGAACCATAAAGATTTATTCATTCAACCTTTATTTACTTCTTGGGAATACATCGAGGGGTGAAGCCTCATTTTTAATGATGCCGAGATTACATTGGGCGACGAGAGACAACAGAGATAAAAATGCTCGTACTGTCCCTTGTAACCACTGGGACATATTTAAACTGATAATGTTAGCAGGATTTGCTGGGAACCAGTGCACAATCTGTCTGTCTTATTCACTTAATAATAAAGCCTGGCATTTTAGGAACTTGACACTAGTTGGGGACTGTCTCAGAAATCCAAATTAGCCGGCAGAGCATTTGCAATTTTTGTTGACAGCTTTCAAAATTTTGTTGTAGACACTTCAGGCCAACTCTCTTTTCATCTGGACCGTCTACCACTTTTTTTTATGATTCTAAAATTATTATTTAAAATGTGGCCAATGAGCTGATAAAGCCTGCGGTTTCTCAGTAGCTTTTTCAATTTATCATAGGCAGATTCACATCGCATTCACATTCATCTGTGCCTCCTCCACATTATATACACAACCTCCAGCTTTTAAACATAAATCATGCAATATGGCCCCAGATATGTTTGTGACAAACAGATACAGGTAGTAACTTTGCGTTACATCCCTGCTGGATGAACTGGTGTTACTGTCATTGTTGATTATGCTGTTTCTTTGTGTGAATTGTGTTTCAAGGCGTCTGGATGGCGTGGTGTTTGACTGCGGCTGTGATATTCGCTGGATCCAGCTGTGGCAGCAGAGAGGAGAAGCCGGGCTCCATACCCAGCAGCTGTACTGCAAGAACGGAGCCTCCAAGATACGACTGCACAACATGTACATCCACAACTGTGGTAAGAGGAGGAGGAGGAAGAGGAGGAGGAGGAGGAGGGAGGGTGTGATCTGTGAAGAGGGGAAAAAAAAGGTAGCAGCATGGGGAAGATGGAGGGAGGAAAAGGGTAGAAAGGAGGACAGCAAAGGAAAAGGAAACAAGCGAAGGGTAAAAAACGAGAATGTCAGACGGAAGAAGACAGGAAAAGCAGGAGAAGGGAGGAAAGGGTTAAAGGTGAAATGGAGGAAGCAGAAGAGGAGCAGGGAGACGAGTGGAGGCGAGAAGGGGAGGAGGTATGACAGAGTTCAGAGGGTGAATCTGATGTGAGGAGCTGTGTGTTGCTTCTGACAGGGGCTGTAGACTCTGCAGTATTATCTCCTGGTGGTGACTCATCCCTGAGAAATCTAGTGTGTGTGTGTGTGTGTATCCCACTTCCTCCTTTGTATTAATTTTGTTACATTAATGAAAAGTGATTAATTGATTTGGTGTGAAAATATGTAGACACAGGCAGTGACAGGTGCACATTAACATGAACACACACTGTGTGTGTATTTGCATGTGTGTGTTGTCAGACTTGCCAGAGATCAGTGTGAGCCACAGCAGCGTGTTGGTGATGGAGGGCGACAATGTGACTGTGAGCTGCAATGGATCTGGATCGCCGTTGCCTGAAGTGGACTGGACTGTCGGCGGCCTGCACTCCATCAACACACACCTGGTCAGACACACACACTCGCACACATACAAACAGCTGTGAATTCATTGTGCTTTTATAGTTTTACAGCTTCAATGACACTGAAAGATGACAGAATGCCATCTAATGATTTGAATTTCATTTTTCTTCCATGGCCACTATAGGCCTTTTTCACAGCGGCCATTTTGACATGAAATAGTAGGGAAAACACAGGTGTTACCAATGAAGTTTCAATTCTGTTAGGTCAAACAGAGTCAGGGTGCTGCTATTGTGCATGTAGGCTCACTAGAAAGGCTCTGCTACACTTAATGGAATGGTCCCTTAATTAGTATAATTCGTAAAACCTGTGTTTACCCTACTGCTTCATGTCAAAATGGCTGCTGTGAAAAAGGGTCACAACTTAAATCTGAAGAGTGATGAGATGATTAATGATGAGGTAAGGAAAGAAGAAAACATTCTGCTGTGCAAAATTATATTCATATTTCCAACCTACTGGATAAATATTGGATAATATGACTTATTTGGGTCTTGGAAAGTTAATTAAATGAAACCATCTCAGAAATTAAAGAGGAAAAATATCTATTTGGAACTCAGACACAATTGAAATATGATTGATTTGTTTGCGCTGCCGTTTGTAAGGGGTGATAAGCAAAATCTATTGGAAACCACTGATAACAATCTAAACAATTGCAAGTACATTATATTAATTTTAGTGTGACAGATTTCCATCATAACGTCATACTTGAACCATCTAATAGTGATAGACGGGTTGGACGATTAATCCGTCCGATTATCTGCCATTTTGAGACAATCAGCATTGGCCGATGTCTGTGCTCACAAGGCTGATAAACAACAAATGTCTTCAGACTCATCTGCAGGCGGCATTGTCAGAGTGGCTGCTGTGGAACAGTGTTAGCGCTCCCCCCTGTGACTTTTGGGAAGGAGGTAAAAAAGTTGGTTTTCAAGCCCTGTACTATAACTCTCATGTATCCTACTGTAAACATATACCTGAATTCCCTATACAGAAGAGCAGAATTAAACATGACTTTTCTTTGTTTTGATATTGGCCATTGGCAGCCCTGCTCTCTAAATATCAGCATTGGCACTGGCCATTAAAAAACCCATATCCATATATAACCTCTACCATTTAATTAATGTTTTCTGGGTCCACTGGTATTTTAACACTCAGAAGCTTTCAGTTGAGGTTATATCTTTTTGCTCATATTATGTAAAACTAAATTTGAATTGGTTGTTTTTTTTTAGTGCACCTGTTTTATTTCATTTTGTAATTCATCATGTATAGGTATTTAACTCTTAATTGAAAAAAAATAATTGTGATACCAACAGATTGTAGTGGTTTCTGATTATTCTGCATATTCTCATCTAAAATCATAATTCTATCACACTGTATCAAAAAATGTGTTCATTTATGTGACTTAATCCTAAAAACCTACAATCATGATCCAGCTAACTGTGAATTAGCATGGACTTTTGTAGATTTGGGCTGTAGGACATGTTGCTGTGACAACAGCTCCAGATAAATTTCAAAGGCTACTTTGACAAACTGAAATATCCAGGCTGTATGTCACATCAAGCTAACTCACTTATTCACATATGAAGAACAGGGCCTCGATTTAAGCTGTTTTGTAGCTCTTGTAACTGTTTGGTATATGTTACTATGATGATCTACCATGCTCAAAATAAGATACTTTTGTAAGACTGAGAGGCCTGGGTTGAACCCACAGTGAGCTGGCTAACCTGCTAATCTGGCTCCCTGAGACAGGCCCCAGGGACGCCACAGCAACAACAACAGCAGAGATAAACAGCATGAGGAGGAAAACAGCAGTTTCTGAAATTGCTGTGTGGCTGCATTTGTCATCTGTGTCTTTAATGCTTGCAGTGACTTTACAGATGAAAGTGAAGTCTTAGGGAACCTGGCCAACTGAGGACAAGAAGGGAAGCATAAGCATTGTAGTTGGCTACCTAAAGGTGAAAAGCTGTGAATCAGTTAGTCCAATTAGTGCCAAAAATTGCAGTATATCACTCTTTACATTCTTGCCAGTAGTAAGATCAGGCTAGATCGCTGCAGAGACTAATTACTACTGGTAGTGTGTACTTCACTTTATTCTATTTTATTTAATGAATCAATAATGAACTTTAATTGCAATTCAGTAATTACAGATAATTTAATCTCCGGTAATATTAATTATGGTGTGTATATCCTTCACAGTCCTAAAATCTGCATCTCTCATCCTCTTTCCTTAGTCCAATGTATACTGGCCGAACATCCACTCTATCAACCTGACTCTGTTCAACATCAGCCGAGATGACAACAACTTCCAGCTGACCTGCATTGCAGAGAACGTGGTGGGGATGACCAACTCGTCCATCCAGCTCAACGTACAATGTGAGTTGGATTTCTGTTTTCTACGATTAAATCTAAGGAAACTCTGGCCGTGGACGGCAGAAGGGACAGGAGTGAGGTGTAAGCTACATTTAAGCCCATAATGGACGCAGTAACTCATGACCAATGACAAACATTTCACATTTACACTACAGGTTGTGGTCGCTTACATTTTAATATTAATAAGAACATATTATTCCCTTAAAATGATTATTCCCTGTATTGCTTTAAGATTCAGAGGGTCATTATGCTGCCCATGTATTATGTGCAGGTTCCGACTAATTTGTTTTAATTATAATCTAGTTTAGGTTTAATATAATCAAGGTAAATAGTGAAACATCTAAAATGCCTTTTGTTTAAAATGAAATTAAGTAGCTTGGCCTGAGGTGTGTGCGGATAATGTTACCATGTCACCACAGTGGCATAAGAAAAACAAAAACAACAATGCTAATGCTAATTGTGATGTTAAGCATGTATAATGTTTACCTTGTCATCGTTTTAGTTTAGTGTGATAGCATAATATTTGCTAATTAGCATTAAAAAGTGCAGCTGAGGCTCATGGGAATTTCATTAGCTTAGCAATGATGATGGCGCAAGCAAGCTTAAGGGATTGCCCAACATATTACAATTTATGGGAAACATTAATATCTGTACGAACTTTCATAGCAATCCATCCAATAGCTGTCAAAACACTTCCCTAAATGCCAAATATGTCGACACCATGGCGCTAGAGGAAAAGTCAAGATAATTCAATCTGGACCAAAGACTGACTGACCAGTATTACCTCCCCTAGAGCAATGCCGTGAGCAAGTGTGTAAAAATGGAGTGTGTCATTATTTTTTCTCAGGTTTAAATGCTGAGTTTTAAATGTAGTGTGAACATCTGTACTGAAAAACCACCTCCATCAAGCATGCAATAACTGAAATATTATCAATTCAATCACCACTACATCTCTCTCCATTGTCTCCATCAATAGTCATGTTTCTAGGGTATTATATCTTATTTGCTCCTTCTTGGAGTGGATACTCTGAATAAGGCTCAAATGCCTAAAATGTAAAATTAGGTTGCTCTGTTGTTAGATGCACTAATCAGTGAACCCTGCTGGTGTAGTGATTGCTTGGAATGAAATCTTGTTGCCGACCACTGAGCTAGTGGCTTATCCACATTAGAGCCCGTCAACTGGGGACTACCATGGTTTGGTAAAATCTGGCATAGTTCGGTACAGGCTGGTAAGATTATTGTAATCCAGTATACCATAAAACAGCACAACTTGCAGAACAAATGGTCTTAACTGTCAGTGATTTTTACAGCTTCATTGTGAGGCTTCTGCTACTCAATCATTTTGTGAGGCATAAATCACTGTCCTACAGCTACTGTATCTACGGTATTTGGTCAGGGCCAAAACAAGCTGGGCTGGCTATATAGGCTTAAAGACAGTAGATCTTCTGGCTTTGAATTTGACTGACCATAGTGAAGAGCTAACACCAGTCAGAGGTAATAATGTATTCATTTGGCCCGTATTTGCATTTGTAAATATCTTTGCACGGGATGTAATTATCTTTTTATCAACTTAATGAGGAAATGTTTATATCGATTCTGTTAAATGTTTAATGCCCATGTATTTCACATATTTTCTCTACAATGTGTAACTCCTACAATATTAACTTTTATTCATTTTTATGTTTATTTTAGCCAACTTAAGACCTTATGGAAAGATTGTTGTCTTAAATACTGAAAAGTTTAATCCTGACTTGAAGTGCAAGATAGCATGTGTTGACTTTTTCAATATTTAACCAAAATCCTGGTCTGTCTTAAATTTAAAGCTGCCTTAGCCGATATGGTTATGTTAACTATGGATCAATTAACCATTTGTAATGTGAAAGGGATCGCTCATTGGTGCAGTGAAATGAGAGTGAATGTATTTACATTCATCAGGTGGCCAGGATAATGCTCCATGTCTACTTGATGTGTAAATAAGCAACTGTTTGCTAATAAGTTTGCCATATTAACTTAAATGGTGATAATACAGTATGTCAGTGGGAAGCTTTTTAATAAACAGCATATGCTCAATGAATGGAAGGCAGGGGACGTATTGACTGTATTGTCTCGTATCTTGTTAATTATCCTTTTTTAAATCTGTCACAACTTTTTTTTTATTAAGTCAAGATTATATCATGAATTGTGCATAGTTTTAACAGGAATGGTCATTACTGACGTTTAATTTAACCGGGCAAAATCTGGCCAGAGAGAAAAAGCAATAACGTACAAAAAAAACAACAACGCTTATTTAGAATGTAGCTGGTACAGTACAAACGCTTGAAGCCATGAATACTTGTGTTTTTATTTTGCATAAGATGTCTTTCATGGCAGCTTTGATGGACTTGTGTTGGGGACTGAAATATATCTTGCATTAATGACGCTGACATTCTAAGAGAATAATTTACAACAGAAAAAAAATCTCCTTTATCAAGCAGAACAGCCAAATTATGCAGGTACATTTAGAATGCAATGAGGTGTTGCACAGTTACAAACCAAGTGAAATTGATGTAGCCAATTAGCAAGAATATACCCTCCAGCCCACATGAAAGCTCAGCCTTGATCTGAGCGGAAAAGGAAAAAGGAAGAAAAAAATACAACCCTCAGCAATGATAAAGCAATGATTAGGTAACCATCAGAATATTCCTCTATATCCAGTCCATGAATTACAGCATATACCTCAGCTCTTACACAAGTTTACCCTGTGGATTGGCCCTGAGCAGATGTGGGACAGACTATATTCAAAGCCAATATTTATCAAAGGTGCTTGACGTTTTTCTCTTTGTAGCAAGCTTACTGTTGTAGAGCGCAATCTATTGTGGCTGTTTGCAATGCATCACGCTACAGGACAGCTGAGATTTGTCACCAATTCAAACACTCCCTACTGGAGCAGAGCTGCTAAGGACCATGCTAGAATGACAGATTGACTTTGCAACATCTAGTCTTCAGGGCTTCCTCCACACGGACACTCAATGGATGTACATCTCCAGGCATTTTTTTCTGTTGACACTCTCTGCTGGTGCTGCAAATTAACTTATTAATTTTTCACCACATGCTCTGATGGTAATTACATTTCCTCCCCTGTGCAGCCTATTGTCTCTGGAAATGTCATAAAATAGCTTAAACTGCTGCTCTGATTAGGGAGTAATCTGATTGACAGGGAAATTACCAGCCGTCAAGTAACATTCTCTGCATTCAAAGATGAGTCCCCTATTTTAGCGAAACTGTAATTAACCACAATGCAAATTCTGCAGGCCCATTGTCCTGCTGCTGTCTGGAACAATAGCAGCTCTACAGCACTGTGGACTCGCATAACTTACTATGTTTTTTTTCCTTTGGTCCTATAGGCACAATGTAGCTCTCTATTAAGAACAAGGCACTAACTAATACTTAGGTTAGTTGTTCTGTTCCCTGAGTAGCTCTACAAGTAGAGCAAAGCATTAACTCTTAATATGAATAATTAATGAAGAAATTAGGTGACTGTATCCCTCCAGACACTCCACACAATAACACTATGCTGCTTGTACAGGTTATAATCTTAATCACAATGTGGCTCATCCCAGAGGGAATATGTGACAATATCTGCCCCATGAAACTGTTGCCTCCCCTGTCACCGTCAGCCACGACGCCCTATCTGTAGTCTGGCTGGAACATGACATTTGAAATATGCCACCACTGTTACCACTAGATAACATTGCACAACTAGCCTTGTATTCAGTGTTCTCACTGATCAAAGGCATGTATTTATCAAAGCTTGTCATCTGTATTAGCGCCACAAGGACACCATGTTGTTGTAGACCAGTATGGAGCGCCGCACTGATTTGTATTGTATTGACTGAGACTGGGCTGACAGCCACGCTGAGGGGAAAATGGATTGTCCCCTAACTGTCCATCAACAAGAGAATTTTCCTTTTCCACTCTATGTCTTTAAGTGGCACGGCTGTATACCGCCCATCTTCTTCCCTCCTCTCTCTTTCTTTTCTCTTTCTTCCTGTGCTCATAAATCAAAGCTCTGCACACTCCCCCACACCAGCACGTTCACACATACACATGCCTTAGTATTTAGTTCAGTTGAATAACTTTATTGTCACTATTGTCTAGCAGGAACAATATCACAAAAGCAATTTATGAAATGACAGCTTTCAAACACTAATAAATACTTTGTTCCTTTTTTTTTTTTACTGGAGGATTTGAAAACATGAGGTATCCATGGTGCACAATCAACAACGGTTATAAAAACTAGAGCTGTAATTAACAGCTACTTTTATCCTCAGTTTACATAAAAAATCAATTATAATCAATTTATCACCTATGAATGATGCACAAGTGTGGTGTTTACAATTAGAGTGGCTCGCATTGTGCTTTTTTCCTAAAATGAAGTTGGCAATGATCAAAATACCTCAAACAAATTGAGACACAGAAAAGCTAAGCCCAAGTAGCATTATTGGTTAGGTCTCTAGGCAAAAAATGAAGCTGCCATATAGTCACTTTTGTGTACTGTTCTTACGTTAATGGGGACTTGGAGGCTTGGAAAGGTATATACACAATGCACAGAGGGTCATACTGTAGGTGTGGGGGAGTCAATAATCGGGAACCAACAACAACATTTTGCTCTGGGTCCTCCAAACAGGTTAATCCAGCTATGCAAATCCTCTATTTGGTGCCAATAATCAGTGAATATTTGGTATTTTTAATGAATACATGACTTAACTAACCCTAACCCTATTTCATGATTAAAATTATAATCAGAAAACATGTTACTATTTAATAGCACATTGCATGAAACTGCAGGGTTGGCTGAATGAAAACATAAATACACACATGCAACCGTTCTCTAGCTATATTAATAGGGTTGCTCACACATGATTATAGAAATGCAGACTTTGTTAAGACCCAGCTAGAGACAAAGCAGTGGTGTATTATGAGTGTATGTGTGTGTGTGTGTGTGTGTGTGAGTTTGGTGGGGGCTGGTATGTAGAACAGACACAGAGAGAGACTGCCAGGTAATGCCGTCTGCCAAATATTTCCTTTTGATGATGTAGCTGCAAGAGTGACTCATCGCAAAGACAAATCAGTGGATGAATTGTTTATGAAATGTATCTGATGGTATTAAATTGATAAATTGCCTCTCAGCTTGGCAGTGCTGTGGATTTAGAGGTGTGTTGCTGCATGTCAGAGGAGGATGCTATGTGCTTGTTTATGCAGAGGAGATTCCTCTGTCTGTTTCAAGCAAGAGGAGTCCCTCTGTATGTAACACACGGTAAAAGGCTCATTGCCACTACCAGGCAAAGAAACCTGCCTCCTAAATGTCATATTTTCCACAACAAATCAAAACTGCTTTGTGTTTAGTCTGCTGCTGCATTATTATTTTATTTCCAAAGAATTGGGACAGGTTTTCATCAGCCCAAGGGTTGTGGAACTTTCTCAACACATAAAGGTCTTAATAATACTCAAGTTATTGCTCAAAAGGAATCAGAAAGCAATCAGGAAAACTGATGAGGGTTTCAAGACAGAAAAGAGAACTTTCGAGTGATCCAGGAACTGCTCATTCTGCTCTTTCCTCTACAGATGGAGAGTATGCCTAGAATCTGTCATGTAAATTCCATAGTTTCTTCTTTCTTGCAGTTCCTCCAGTGATCCTGAGACTGGCTGAGCCTGAGCAGCGCCATGATACCTGCATCGAGTTCACGGTCCGCGGTTACCCCCATCCCAAGCTGCGCTGGTTCCACAAGCAAAAGGAGATTATCCTGAACGAGTACATCCGAACTGAGATGGACTTCTACCAGGACTATCTGGAGGGCTGTCTGACCTTCCAGAACCCAACGCACATAAACAACGGCAACTACACTCTGGAGGCCAGCAACCCTCTGGGAACAGTCACCAAAACAGTGTATGGTCACTTCCTCGACATCCTAGATGACGACGACGGTGAGTGGTTCGCTTCTTCTTGGTAGTTATTCCTCTCTGTGCTTGTGGTTGATAAGTGATGCACTGTTGGCAGCTGGCAGTGTTGATGTCCTCATAATTACTATTGAGAGTATACTCATGGGTAAAATGGCATTTAAACAAGGGTTATGAACACATTTTTACTGCCTGAATATCGCCTACATTCCTCAGGATTTAAATAAGAATAAAAGCACAGGAGCAAAAGAAATACGGCCAAGAAACTCCCTGAAGAGCATGCATGGCCCACTTTTTGGGAATGATTGGAGCAAGTCTTCGTCTAGTTCTAATTTCTTGTTTAAACTACCTGTTGTATAAATGCCAGCTTCCGTTCTCGGTGGAGCAACTATTGGGAGCTTTTAGCTTTTATTAAACATCTCCCTTCACAGGGTGCAAGTTGTGCAGTTGATCCCTGCTGGCTGGATCACAGCCAGGGTTCACCCACAGTTCAGTCAGGTAGATTGTTCGCTTGCAGTTCATCCCGAGTTCACAGGGAGGGGGGAATAAACCCACAAAGACTGGCAAATTTCTCCCCATGGTAAATATTCCAAGGTTAATACCTTGTGTCAATTTATTGACATAGCGTGACTTTCTCTGTCTTCTCTTTTGCAGACCTAGTGGAACTAGGTGAGTGTTTCTATTTTCCAATTTAACCCTGCTATTTTTATTTTTATTTGTTATTTTTTGTACTATTTGTTTGTTTGACGTCATTATGCACACACACACACAGACACTTCCGTAACCATGGAGAAATTTGGTCACTTTGTGTTGCAGTTCATAAACATCTCTTAGCATTGCTGCTCAATTTTCTGGACCCTGATAGCATTATTATTAAAATATCACTGAATGCTATGTTCCGGTTATATGCTCTGCTCAAGGGCATCTCAATGGTTGTTGAGAGAGAGAGGGGTTAGCATTTCTCATTCACTTTGCCTGCTTGGATCAGCGCAGCCAGTCAAGATATTTAAACCGGAGTAATAAACTTGCTTTTTTTCAGGTTGTTGGAATTAATGCTGAGTCACTATACCATGTTACACTGTATCATGTTTTATTCCTCATACATCCTGGTGTCATGTTACTGTTCATGCTAGTTTTAGTTCTCTAAAGCCAACACTTCTCTGCTTTATTTTTTAATTTTTGAAGAGTTGATGCTTCAGACAATCCTTCAGTGATGCCCTTCTTTACCGTCATACATTTCCATACACTTTCACAGAGAGGTGTCCTGTGCAGCCTCAGTGTACTTCTGCTGGTTGGTATAAGCAGCTCTACTTGAGCAGCTGGGCTTTGGTCAAGCATTCGCTAAGTGATGCTCTCCTTTGTTACTACAGCTGTTGATAACAATTGCAGATTTAGCCATTTAGTTCTTACTCATTTTTGATGCAATGGGTCTTATATTTCAGACAGAGGCACATAATGCGGACTGCTCTTTATAGCACATAACCATAAATAATATTATTATATTAGTTGGTTAAATGAATCTTAAATATGCTCTAGATGGCTAAAAACATGACATTGTGCTATCATGCAAGTATGATAGCATGTGCAATAGTAGGCAAAATGTAGGATCCGACTGCTATTCGATTCTAATATAACCCTGTTTGGCTGCTGAGGTTACATGCTTGGACAAGAAAGACCTAGGTTTGATTCAGGCTTTATTGTTTTTATTGTCAAAGAGTGTGTTGGGGGTGGCTGGGGTTGCTGGAGTGAAAATTCCCCAAATCTAATAAAGAGAAAGACAGAGCTGCTAACGTTATCCTAAACTGATATAGTAGCTTCCAGGACCAGCTCCCATACAGGAAGAACATACTGCAGGGTGCATGTGCTACTTATGAACAGGGCTTTTGTTTAAATGTAACCTGACCCCACGAGATAATGTAGTGTGAAAATCTCTATGGCATTGGAAGTACTGCTGGACTACTACTGTATCTAGTTAGCCTGATATGCTATCGATTTCAGCTTATGTTAGAGCAGTGTGGATTAAACACACTCTAATACATTCCTTATGCTTCACTTCTTCTGTTTTGAAGGTTAAAAAAGGACCTGCCTTCAAACTGTTACATATGGAATATTGCTTAATTATAGCCCCATGTATACATCTTCAATGTGTGGAGAAATAGTTATTCTCTCTACTGTTTTTCTTTTTTTTTCCACCCCAGGGAATTGTATCAGCAACTCAACGTGCATTTAACCTCTTCCCTAACCCCTAACTAACCAGCCACAATGTAAACAAGCTAGTTTCTCACCCTGTTAGCGTGTTGTGAAGCGGTCAGTGCAGTCGCCACTTCGTAAATCTCCTGTGTGTGATGTGTGGTTTGGCCTCAGGCTGTTGTGGAAGCCTCACAGTTGACGGCTTAAACAAAGTAGGCTGGTCTGATCTCTGACCTTCATCAGAGTCTTCTTCCATCTCCATATGAGGCCATTCTTTCTAATCAGCCATGGATTATAAAGTCGCAGCATGGCCAGGGATGTAGACGGATGGACGCTGACTGTGCGGCGAGCTGCATTAGGCAGGCAACGACTTCATGTTGCCACACATACACGCACACTTACACAGCTCCTGGGAGTGAGGCAGGTGAGGGAGAGGTGTTTGGGTGATGAGAGTGTGAAACATTATAGCGGCGGCGGTGTGTGAGGGAGTTCAGGCGTAGAAGGAAGAGTGACAGGCTGACTGATACTGCTGAGGAGAGAGGAGGGCAGAGGGAGGAGAGGAGAGAGGGATGAAGGCTGGGTAGGAGGGACAGAGGGATGGTAGTTAGGACACACACGCACGCACACACACACACACACACACTCACACACACACAGAAATGCACTTTAGTGTACTGTGTGTGTCTGAGCCAGTGGCAGCCAGTCTACCATGTGGCCATTAATTTGCCCACAATTACTCTCTGATGTCCTGGCTGGAGGCCTCAGACTGGAGTTTCCCTGACACCAGCTCATTTCGTTTCATGGCTCTGTCTCTGTCCTCTTCCCCTAACACTCCCCAGACCTCTGCTGTCTGCCAAAACTCCTGTTTGTAAAGGTGTGACATGTAACATCAAGAAATGGATTTCAGGATAATTTTGAGACATTAATATGAGTACTGTAGACTGTAGAGCTCTGCCACTTGAGTCCACACGCTTCAGATTTTTACATAAAGATGTCAAGTTGAGTTGGTTCTTGGTTGTTTTTCCAGCTGATTTGTTTTATTTTTTCTAATTTAACATTTGGTGCTCTAGGCTGTCTGAGCTTTTTTCTGCTTCTCTATTTGTGCATAATTCTAAACCAGCTTGTTTTAATTTGTCTGTGCCTTTGTGTACTGCGCTGTATGTATAAGCACAAGCATGCATTTGTGCAATTATTAGGAAAATTCCACAGTGTCTTTTCTCTTTGGGTTTGGCTAAAAACAAGTTTCAGGCTTTGTTCTCAGTCTTGTGACAGGTGACAGACTTGAGTGTGCATTCAATGCCGCAACTGAAAGCCTTTTATCAGCCTCTAGACATAAAAATGCATTGTTCATCAACATATCTCACAATGTCTCAACCTTTAATGGCACAAAACAGGGGCAAGGCAAGTTTCTCCTTGTTTACATCAATCCAAGGAAGGCAATTTTAGTCCATGTCACGAGATTTAACATTTATTCAATACTTTATAAAATGCACGATGAGCTCTCAAGAGGCACACAAATCCGGAAAGCACAAAATTCAACTAGCAATGAGATCGATCACAAAACATTAATGAAACCATTTGGCTTTGTTTAGATATTTACTGTAAATAAGCATGGGATTTAACCATAGGCCTTAAAGTTTCCATCTCAATCTGATGCCTGTTTTGTGTTTTTGTGTTGCAGTTCCTTCGTCGCCGTCAGATGGTGCAGGCCGACCAGAAGAAGATACATTTGGGGTGAGGTTTCTCCTTAATGATGTTTATGAAACAGCTGCCCAAGATGTTGCCCTCGGACTCAACTGAGAGCTGATGTGTGTTTCAGCACAAATCTAAACTGCTTCTTATTTGTCAAAGGACCCTTGTAGGGGTTTGTACTGTGTGTTGACATGCAGCGCCGAGGCACAAAGTGTTTACAGCAAAACCATGTTACAGTCATTTTTCAAAGCTGTACATTTGGACATTAATGATGTTGATGATGGTAACGCTATCCTGCAGTGTGTGCTGCTGTTTTTAAATGTTATGTAATATGGGGACCCTGTATAGTCTTTTGAAACCAATGCTGGTGAGTTACTCCACTTTCGTTCAGTAGACAGAAAGAGATGCTAACACAACCATGTTTAATGGCAGACCTTTTGACATCTCATAGCAGCCAGCACAGGTGTAGGACAATTCATAACATTAATAATGGCTGCAGTCAGTGAAGTGTGAAGGTTCCAGTTCCCTTATGTGCATGCTGGGGTCACTGGCATGGCTTACTGGATTACCTAAATGGAAGTGAGTCATTCTTCGTGTTATTAATTACACCTGTGCTCTTCCTGCTATGGCCAATCCAAGCTGTCCCATTTTTATCCCGCCGCCGTCAGCTTTTCCGGCGAAAATGACAACTCTTGTGGGCAGACTTTGAGCGCTGTAGCTAGCTAGCTAATCAACCCAACATTAGCTCCATGAATTGGTTGAAACTGCTGTTTGTGGCTGACTTTTTAATGTTTTCAGCTTGCTTGTTTTAAAATCAGAATCCTGTAAAAAGAGGTCTTAAATATGTGCTTGAAGGCTATATGACGTTATAACTAAAAGACAGAGGCTATGTCAAGCTGCTAGGCTAGTCAGCATCCTTATCAGCTGATGGTCCATGTGGGCACATAAATAAAGAGACAGGGTTATAGCTTTTGCCATTTAAATTTACTATAAAAAATTCTTTTAGGATGACTACTAACCATTGATGTGTTTGTTATCTCTGGAGAAGTCACTCAGGTTGCTGGAGTGTAACCTTCCTAAATCCAATAAAGAGCAGCACAAAGCAACTAATGATATCCTAAAGTTAGAAGGACCAGGAGCAGCTTCCACACAGAAGGGAAAATAATACGCAGTGGATTTTTGAGTTGTAAACAGGGCTTTGTTTTTTAACGTCACCTATGACCCTACAAACAATTGAAGATAATGAAATGCTCCTCAGCCTTGGAAGTAAGGCTGTGTGACTGCTGTTGGTAGTCAGCTTGTTAGACAGCTTACATTGTTAGGCATTTATTTTATTATTTTCATTATTTATAGTACTTATTCTTATCCAGAATTTTATCAGTAATAACTGGCTGTGATAGTGATAATTTTGATGAGCCAGGCTTGTGGCTTACAGTCTCAGTGCAGTTTGGAAACTGTACTGAGACTGTAAGTGGATGAGGATCATATTTAAATTACATTCTGTCAACTGGAATACATCACAGCCAAGACAGGTGTCTAACTTTTCTTTAGACTGCTGTAATCTATGAGAAAGCAGTAGTCACAATCTAGTGGATTAAACTGCGATTTGCACTATCTAAGGTGATCAGATATGGAAGGGATTATCATGCACACAGTGCTCTGATCGCCGCCTGAGTCTGACACAGCACTGTATTTCTCTCAGGTTTCCATCGCTGTGGGTTTGGCAGGCTTTGCTTGCGTCCTCCTCCTCGTCCTTTTTGTTCTCATCAACAAATACGGCCGGCGCTCCAAATTCGGTATGAAAGGTAAGTCTACACAAATAGACAGGCAGAAAGGCAGACGCACAGTTAACTCTGTTTTACGCCTTTCTGCTTGTTGCATCATTGTGCAGAATCTATTCCCCCAGCTAATCTTCTCATCAAAATCTTTGTTCACCAGAAAATGTACAAATGTAGCTACTGTAGAAGTCCTACTTTTCACTGCATGTTTACAGGACCGCTACTACACTTAAATCACATCCCCAAGAGGACTCTCTTGGAAAAATAAAGCTTTTTTCCCTTTTGAATGGACAATGAGTGGTCTCAGTGACTGTTGCAGGGCGCTAGAGCTTTGTTGCTGTGTGCTAGTTGAGTCCTCCTGAAGGCCATGCATTTACAGTCACCCATACACGTGCACTAATATAGACAACTACATCAATACTAAAGGACAGTGGGCATGCAAACGAGGTCTATGCACTGTACATACACCACATAGATTCACTGTGTGTGCTATTGGGAGCGATCGCAGAAGGGATCCTGAATTAATTAGTAGACTCGGTGCTGTCGATCATACTGAGGAATTCAATAGGATTAATATGGCTTTTGTGTATGCTGAGCTTTCATTTTGTATCAGCTCCAGGTTTTGCTTGTCTCTGGTGTTGGCATCGTGGAAGAAGCAAAAGCAGTCGTAGCGCTGATCTAGGAACAGAGAGCAGAGCAGAGGCAGGAGCATGTTAGCAGCTCAGGTCCTGTGGTTCAGGTTCAAGTGCTTGCCCACCCAACTACAGCTCTTATCAGTTGGCAGGCTGCTTGTGTTTGGTGTTTTGAGCTGCAGCTTGGGTATCATTCACAAAATACACGTCCCTGTGTCCCTTTTTAAAAAAAACCCAGTCTGTTCGTTTCTGTCGGTTTCTAGCATTTGTTCCTTTTTTCTCTTTAATCAAAATATGTTCTAATAACATTCCGCCGCAAGCCACCACCTTTAGGCATTCATGTTCTTCATTTCATACCGAAAGCATGGTGTAAAGTAGCATTAGCCGCTGCCATCCCTTAATTAGATACTTTACAGGATTAGA